GGGAGAAGCAGACTCCCTGCCGAGCAGGCAGCCCGATGCAGGACTCGATCCAGGGACTCCAGGATCATGACCTGAGCTGAAGGCAGTCGCTTAACCAACTGAGCCACCCAGGCGCCCGCTCTGACGTTATTGAGAGAAAAAAAAAAATGGCCCCATGTACTAAGTCAACAAAATGAACTGTTAACGTAAGTAGTTATTTGTGTTTATTAAGCACTTTTCCCCCAAAGGACTCAAAACATTTCAAATATATTAGCATGAATAAAACCTCTATTAATAACCTCACAAGTACACAGTTGCTATTTCCACATTTTAGAAGAGGAAAATATTATTAGCTAATACACAGTAAACTACAAAGCAGAAACATTAAGCCCCTTATACCTCATCTCTGACAACCAATCATTCACACATGATGCCAAACATAAAATGGATAATCTCTTGAACCACCATATTTGAGACTTTTGAATGAACATCACATGCTTTCTTCTGCTGTTTTAATCTAAGATAATTTCATAGCATCCTTTCCACCTTCACTGTCTTCCTCTACAACCTACATGAAACCCTTCAGCCTGGAAAATGCTTTCTAATAAGACTGTCAAAGATTTTCCACACATTTATGAACCTAAACTTAGTCATTGAACTTGGACACTCATGCACCACAAACTTCACGGCTAAGAAGGCACTCAAAATGCTGCATCTACATTTTACAAAACTGGCAAACTGTTTCTCCAAGGAGGCATCAATCTCCCCTCTAGCTCTGAGGTCTATCTGAGGTCCTACCTGAGGATGAGGCAATATAGGAAAATATGTGCCTAGCTTCTTCCACAGCCTCACTGTGACTACACATAGAACCCATGCTAACAGTGGTAGCAGTAGCTTCCCCAGATAAAGGGTAACTAAAAACGGAATTGTCAGGTAATAACTGATGAGATTTATGTGCTGAATGAGGGTGCACTATGAGTAATATCAGCTTTTGTAACAAATAGATCCAAAAATGCATAAAGGCTCAACACAACAAAAGTTTAATTTTCTCTCTCCCTCTTTCTCTCTCTCTCTCTCTCTCCGTCATGTTCATGTAATTTATGCTCCCTCTTCTATTGCATAGAGTTATTACTGAGAAAGACTGTAAATATTGCCATTGATTTCTATTCAAGAGACACCTGGCTGGCTCAGTTGGAAGAGCACGCAACTCTTGATCTCGGGGTCCTGAGTTCGAGCCCCACACTGGATATACAGATAACTTAAATAAATAAAAACTTACCAAAAAAAAAAAAAGATGTTCTTTGAAGAATATGTGGGTCTTCCTGGTTGGGGAAGAGCCCTCTTTCAGGTGGCCATATAGACCCAGTTTTTTCAATCCTGTCTCCCCAACATCCACTATGGTTCATGGTCATCTAGATCCAAGCAGAGGAAGAAGGAAGACAGAGCATGGGGTTTCTTAGAAGCCTTGCCCAGGATGACAGAGATGGTCTCACAGAATGCTGTGTGCATGAAAGTGGGGAAGCAGCACCCAGAAGAATAGACTACATGCTCCAGCACAATGTACAACAACGTGCCACAGCCTTCTTATTCCAGAAAACAAGTAAAACAGGCCAATCGACCCAGGGGGCAAGAAGCAAAACTGTTATGATTGTTCACAGGCAACGGTTTCAAGTAGGTTCTCAGGAAGAAACAGAATTATAAACACCAATCTCTACCAAAAAATAAAAAAAGAAAAAGAGTTGTCCCTTTACTAATCCAAAGGAGGGTGTCCATAATTCTTAAATATGCAGCCTTCTACTTACCAGTAATGAAAGTGTTTCTTTCCATAAAAGAGTATCGAATATCTTACTTGTGTTATGGCCAATTTAAGGAATCGCTGATTTCTCGTTCTCTTGATTTTCTTTTGTTATGCTGTTGTTATGATTCCATGTAGAGGAGGATGTCAGTTGGAAAAGGTGAAGCTACTCTCGGCTACTTACATACGCAAAAAAGCTGTTTTCCTTAGTATTTCTCTTTTGTTCACCACAGCCGAACTACATACCACCAAAGCCACAGGTCCCGGTCACTCTGGCTGGCTCTGTCCACAGCCACCAAAGCCGCTGCTTGTACCAGTAACGGGCGGGATTCTAAAGCACCATCTGCCCCTCTGAGTTATCACTCCCAAGGCACAGTGCCACGCTTGCCAGACCTTAAGTGCTCCTGATAGCTGGCACAAGTCAGGAAAAACACAAATGTGGGCGTTTCTCTTTGGGAAATGAAGAGGAACAGGGCACTCTCAACCCACCCGCCTTCATACAATGATGGATTCCCCCAAATTTAGGAAAAGGATTCAGATGGCAGGCAGCCCAAATGGTGACAAAGGTCTACCGAAGACATAATAAAACATTAACAAATCAAATGCCACCGGTCACGGGATGGGGGCTGTCATGAGAGAGAGAACTGGAAGATTATGGGGAAAACAATTTTCGTTTCCACTCATGCATAAGGGAACTCGTGTCCATAAAGTTTCCACGATTCTATGAGGCAAACCAGGCTCTGTCTTCTCCATCCAATGCCAGGACCTCAGGGGCAAAGCTACTAAAAGTATAGACAATCGTATCCAGCAGAGTCTAAAAAACTTTCTGTGATCATGGAAATGTTCTATCTATGTGCTGTCCAGGATATAGCCTCTTGCCACATGTGGCCATTAAGCACCTAAACCATGGCTACTGTGAATGATGAACTCAATTTTTAATTTTCTCAATTAAAATTTACATTTAAATAGCAACATGTGGCTTCTGGCTATGGCATGGAAAGTGCAAGACTAGCCTTTCTGGTGGTGTCTAAACAATCCATTGCCTCAAATAACCTGATCTAATATTAAAAAAAAAAAAAGTGGGTATTTCTTTCCCATAACTATTGAAGAACATTTGTGGTTAAATCCTGGGCTCAATCCTAACCTAATTTAGATGCCTTCACTATGTTCTAAAACAACAGTTCTCGATGTCTCTGATTATGGTGACCCATTTTAATGTCAAAACAAGTTATTAACCACGTATAGTAGTGGCTCTTGAACTCCTATTAAGAAAATCCATTATAGTAAAAAGCTTCTCTTAAGTAATACTTTATATTCATGCATATTTCCTCAAAACAGTAGCAGCTATATAGAGTTGTCAAATATCCATAAACAGGGGAGACAGTATAGATTTAATATGTGAGCAATCCTTGATATTGCCATGGATTCCAGCACATCTTACAATATCCCCCAGCCTCCTGGGCTCTATGAACCACACAGGTTAGGAGCCCTCTTCTAAAGATGCATCATCCTAAGTAGCCAGCAGATCTGTGATGATATATTACACAAATGAGGGTCTTGGTTCACAAGAGGGGATTTGGATTGGTATTGGAGAAAGAAAAAGCAACTCTCCCAACGCTTGGAAGTCAAATTTTTTCAATGTATATCTGGTAGCAGATGTATAATACAGATTATTTATGCTGTAGTTAAGCCCAATTATCATGCTAACTTCAAAGAAGATCAAGGTCCAACAATCTGGATTTCCTAAAAGTGTACTGTTACAACTCAACAGGTAGATGATGTTCATCAGCTCTCTTCCTATCATCACTTTGTCAGAAAGTATACTCACTCCCTGTGATTAACTTGTTTCTCTCTGTCAACTTGAAAGCCAAAATCTGAAGAAATAATGTGAGGGAAAAAATTAAAGCAAGTGTTTACTGAGCGGTTCCCAGGCTGGAGCTGGCCATGTTCTGGACAAGTTCATTTTAAGCTGGAGGTGAAAATTCACTTTTGTGAAATGGATGGAAGGATGAAGAAAGACCCCATCAATATTAAAAATCTTGATTTTAGGGGCACCTGGGTGGCTCAGTCAGTTAAGCGTCTGCCTTCAGCTCAGGTCATGATCTCAGGGTCCTGGGATCAAGTCCCACATCGGGCTCCCTGCTCAACAGGGAGTCTGTTCTCCCTCTCCGTCTACCCCTCCCCCCTGCTCGTGTGGGCTCTGTCTCTCTCTCAAATAAATAAAATCTTGATTATAAAATGGGGAAAATGTTTCTACACCATAACCTCTCTGCCCAGAAATGACTGAACAGCTAAAATCTTATAATTTGGGAGGAAACTAAAGGGAAAACAGAATGGCAATGTCAGGTTTGACCTCTGTGATCTTGAAACATCCTAAAATCTCTGAGGAGATCCTATGTTTTGGGGTGACAGTCCCATCAGGCCCCACCATAACACTCATGTGTCCAAGGACCTCTTGGGACCCACCGCTCTCCTCAGAATCAAAGTCCCCGAGCACACCTTTTAGAACAGGAGGGCCGGCTGATGTTGGTCCACATTAGAGAGTAAAAGGTATTGGATGAAAACAACAGCAACCACTAGGCTCAGAGCTCAGTCCATGAAATCTAGAAACCTCTCAGAGACTCTACAGATTACAGGAGGTTCCATAAACCTAAGAATGCCCACAACTTGGTTACAGCTGCAAAGTATCAAGATGTATAATGTAAATTATTTATGCTGCAGTTAAGCCCAATTATCATTCTAGCTTCAAAGAAGAGCAAGGTCTAACAAAGTATCATGCAAACCACAGTCCACGCTCTGAAAAAGAAATCTCATAGAAAAAAACATGAGATAGCACAACTTGAGCCATAGACCATTTTATTCTTCTAAGCTCCCTGGGCTTTCTAGAACGAAGTCACCCACTGAAAAAAGAGGAATATATTTCGCCAAGATAGGCGGAAATTAATCTCTTTCAATTTTTAAAATGAGAGACATTCACTTATTACACTTCACATGCACTGACTGTTATAGACATCAACAATTCGCTCAAAATAGATACGCTTTAAAAAGACTGGGAAATTCAGTATTGAATTTAGGAAGCTGAATCTGAGGTTTTAATTCAATGCACAATGGCATGCATTAGCAGCATAAAAATTGCTTCTTGATTAAGTAGTCTCGGGTTGTAATTTACTCAAGATAAAATTTTTTAAAACATCACAAATTAATTTTAAAAAGCACATACACCTACCTTTTTAAGGAAGATCACGTTTCAGGATTCCGTAATGTCTTTTCCTATAGGCGTGGAAAAGAAGAAAGATTATCCAACTAATAACAGAAAGTAGCGAAGGTGAGCTTTGAAGACCATAGCGCTGCTCTCATTTTCTCATGGTATGGTTTCATTTATAATATTAAACAAATAGAAATTTCTGAAGTTAGACTTAAAATATTTCTTTGTTTCCATCTCAGTAAAGATTTTGATTCCAATGATTTGATTTATAAGGAGCAAATGAACAAAATCAAATGGAAACAGATCAAAATAAACAGGAATTTTTCAAAATTAGAACTGAAGCATTTACTTATCCCAATGACATATACTCAATACTTTTATTCCATGAAGTAAATGAATAAAATTCCACTCCTGTTTCTATTTTTCCAGGGGGGAAATGAGGTGAAGAAGTTGTAAGAGCCTGTGTAGGTAACAGAAGGTAACAAAACTATAAGGAGCTGTTACCTCCTATTGTGTATTTTTTAATTGTCCTAGCTAATAAGCCATATTTACGGGCTCGATTTTTCTTGGCTAAGACTTCTGGATCAAGAAAAATATATAAAGGAAAATGAATCAAAATAAGATCTCTCTGATCTTATTTCACATTTATTATTTTCAATAAATAATTGATATCGAAATCTGCTAGTCCCTAATAAATACTAAATATGACTTTTCCTTTCAAAATTACTTGTTGGCATACATTAAATTATTCTAATATTTTAACTTTATATACTCAAGCCCAAATAAGGAAGTAAATGGTTTATAGTTTAATGTAAGTTAATCATCGACTCCTATAAACTGTTTCTACCAAATCTAATTAAAACAGCCCATGGAATACTGTCCACGGACTGTAATTGTGGGGGCGCCTGGGTGGCTCAGTCGTTAAGTGTCTTCCTTCGGCTCAGATCATGATCCCAGGGTTCTGGGATCGAGCTCTGCATCGGGCTCCCTGCTCAACAGGAAGCCTGCTTCTCCTTCTCCCACTCCCCATGCTTGTGTTCCCTCTCTCGCTCTCTCTCTCTCTGAGTCAAATAAATAAATAAAATCTTAAAAAAAAAGAAAAAAAGACTGTAATCGTGACTCTGACCCTGATATGTTAGATTCCATGTGTAAAGTAATTTAACTTCCAGCAGGGATAATGATGTGTAGATTGAAAAACAAGGACCACAATTTCTAACTCGAAAGAGCTCCAAGAATTTGAAATTACTACCAATGCATTAATTCATGGAGATCCCACTCCGGAATAAATGGAATCTCACACATACACACACACACACACACACACACAGATCAGATGGGGACTCCCTAGATTAGCTTGTGCTTCCTTCAGCTGCCACCTTCTTTTCTGACAATAAAATCCATCTTTAACCCTAAAGTAAATGTAAAGGAAGAAATTCTCCCAGCACCTTACTGAAAGGCATGTGAATCCTGCAACCCCAGCCACACCTGCACAGCCCCTTCCTGAGTACAAGCATCTTGGTCACACTTAGCTCCAGAACTTCTCTCCTTCAAAGCAACACCAATTCCCTGCATGGACTCCCCAAAGTCAGCCAGCATCAGGGGCCTTGTCTCTCCTGCTTCTCTCCACTTCAGAGCCAGCATGCATGACTTTGGCTCTCTCACAGCCAACACCCTACAGTTAGGGTAACAGCGGTCCATTCTATTTTCTGAAATTACAGGTGCCGGTAAATTCGGCTAACGGCAATGACCAAAAAGCCAAGACAAACTGATGGCTAATTCAGAAACACAGTTCAACATGCACACACTGAGCCAAATCATAATCAATGGCCCACTAACAACAGGTATGCAGCTCTTCATAGATCTTCAGTTTATAACGGGCCATCCAGAAATAAGAAGATATCTAGAATTTGCTTTGAAACAATCCAGTCAGGGTTGTGGACAAGGAGAGGTAACAGATGGAACAAGTGTCCGTGAATTTGTTGTAGCTTAATGAAGGATGCATGAAAGGTCATTATAGTGTCTGCTCTACTTTTTGGTTATATTTAAATTTTTCCATAACAAAAACTTAAAAGATGGTCATCCAATGAAAGTTTTGTGTGAAAAAGAGAGAGAAAAACGCACAGATCATAAATATCACAACCTTCCTGTTTTCCAAACACCCTTCAACACAAAGGAGAAATAACTAGGAAATAAGCAAAAAATTTTAAAATTAAACATCACACTAGAAAAAATGCACAGCCTACAGTTATGGTTTTATAAAGGAAGTGATAATGGCCTTGAAGCTCTTTTCAATATTTCAATTGCCGAATAACAATACCTACCTTTCTCGTTTTTTTTTTATTATTCCAAATATGTCTGCTTTAAATTAAGTGATAGAAACACAGAAACACTGCTTTTCTCATGACTGTCAGATATTGTTGGTCATTAAATATGCCTTTGATTCCTAAAAGTAGGGAAATGGATGACTTATAATTAATATCAATGTGATCTATTCCCTGAACTAAAATCTTTCTAAGTAAGAGATCCAAGAGGGGATCATTAAAAGGGCGGGTGGAGCACCTGGGTGTCTTGGTTGGTTAAGCATCCCACTCTTGGTTCAGCTCAGGTCGTGGTCTCAGGGTTGTGAGACTGAACCCCACATGGAGCACTCAGCGCAAAGTCTTCTTGAGTTTCTCTCTCTCCCACTACCTCTGCTCCTCCCCCCTGCACTCGCTCTCTCTAAAAATAAATAAATAAATATTTAAAAAGAGAGAGAGACTTTATTGGTGCAAACTTTGGGATCACAGATATAAACTATCAGATCTGCAACCCACTTACGTAGCAGAGTGATCTGTCACTGGGGGACAGCCAAAAGATGGGCACTCTCTAGATAATACCACTAATTTGGCTAGAATTTGAAAGAGACTGGGAGGGGTCATATGAGGCTAGTGCCCAGCTTTCACAATAAGCAGGGAAAGTCACATACCAAGTAAAATCATCCTCACAGCCTCAGAATTTGATTTACTGACCCTGCCAGACACCACTATTGGAAATCTGACACTGGAGATAAATTAAAAAGCAGGATTTATGTCATGGTTTGGGGAAAGAGCATGTGTAAAGCTTTGCCAAGACTTCTTCAAAGATAAACCAGGGGCAAGAACCAATCTTGGTTCCCTCTAAACAGAACAGCACAAGACCAACATTAAATCCTAACATGAGATTTGATCTTTTTTTTTAAAGTAGCTGATGGTTTTCTATTTTCTTTTTCAAGTTTTCCTGGCCTAAAACAATGTTTCCTTTCCAATAAAGAAACAATGCCAAATTCTGAAAAGGAAATTTGTCTGACTTAATGGATAAGCATATAAAAGCTGGAAAAGGGAGTATTATGGGAAAACCAGAACAACTCAGACTTACAAGGCAGCTTTCCAAATATATTGGCAAAAGGATCAAGGGTTAGAGAAGGGGAGTATGTGGGTAATAATTATGAACGAGTTGCATGATGGAGGTCAGCTAAACAAAATTCACTTGTTTTCAATTTGAAAATCACAGTTCCAGGGGCACCTGGGTGGCTCAGTTGCTTAAGCAACTGCCTTCGGCTCAGGTCATGATCCCAGAGTCCTGGAATCAAGCCCCACATCGGGCTCCTTGCTCAGCGGGGAGCCTGCTTCTCCCTCTCCCTCTGCCTGCTGCTCTCCCTGCTTGTACTCTCTATCTCTCTGTCAAATAAATAAAAATAAAATCTTAAAAAATAAAAAAAAAATTTTGAAAATCACAGTTCCAGTGGTTTACTACATAAGCTAAAAGAAACTGCCATTAGCTTACATCCATACTTAGATATTTTTCATATTTTATTAAATTAGGAATGGCATTTAATTGTGCATTTAATAAATATTTGTCAAATAAATGCATTAACGAGGTGGCAATTAATGCTCACCAAATCATGACTTAAGGTCATTAGAAATGACTAAAATAAAATAAAATAAAATAAAATCCTCAGATAGAGGAGTCATGGCTGTTTGTCTAACCAACACACATAACCTTGATTTGCTTGTAGGTGGCAATAAGCCAGGCTAAAATGGTTTGTTCCCCAGACTCCCTTGCAGCTAGGGGTAAGCCATGGGATGCAGGTCAGACCAATGAGATACAAGAGGACGGGCTCTGAGAAAGTGTGTTCTCATTATATGAACACAGTCCCTTCGCTCTTTCTTGGGAAAAGCTACTGGGAGGTGTAGAGCCATCTCACAACCATGAGAACAAAAGGCAGACAAAAAAAGAGTAGAAAGAAAGAAAGAACCTGGTTCTCTGGTGGCATTACTGAGATGCTACATACCACACACCCCCCGCCCCAAAATTGCTTAGGTTCATGTTAGGAGTGACAAACCTCTGCTCGTTCAAGTTCCTGTTTTCCATAATTCACAACCAAAAACATTCTAACACCAGATCTGATTTACCTCCCAACACGGCTGTGTTCTTAAAGCTGCTCCTATTTCCACTGACTGATGTTCCACATAACTATCCGATAACACAGTCACATAACTCTCGCTGACTCATCAACAGTTTCCACTCATCATGAGCATGCCTCCCACTAAAAGGCCAACGAGCTTGAGGGTGAGCAGTCATGAGGAAAGCCATCAGCAAACAACAGGCCATGTCATTCTACCAAGCCACACGGTGCCCTCCTATGGACCACCACACTCCCATGTTAGGAATACAAAAGACAATGCTGCCAAAAAGAGAGCAATCTATTCCACTGATTGAGAAATGGAAAATCTTCCACCTTAAGACTAACTTCAAAATCTGCATGTCTCAACAAAGAAAAGGAAATATTTGTAAGTATGGCTAAATTCAATGCCAGAAATGAAACATCTCTAAAAAACCGAAAACAAGAATAGGAGGATACATCTTGAGGGCTTAAGGGCTGTCCCATGTCCTGGTCCAAATGACCCTACTCTGTGCTTCCACAGGGCCTTCGCAATGCACCTTCTGTGGAATTTAAAATTCTAGTCATTTCTCCCTTAGATATTGATCTCTCCTGATAAAACATAAATTCCTAGAGCTGAGGAAAGCTGACCTGTAACAAGTACTGAAAAATGATGAATGAATGAATGAGCAAAACAACATACAGATCACTTTTCCAAGTTTATGAAAAGTATGCAATCCTTATTTAAAAAAATCTGTATGCATCATTTCTACAAATACAATGAGTTGTATGTACTGTTCAACTGACCCAACATGACATATTTGTCAAATGTTTAGAGAAATGTCAAATTTCTAGAGAAATTGTCAATGGCCTACATTTAAGAAGTAGCTCTTATAAGCCAGGCGATGTGTTAGGCACTTTGCATGCAGGATTTCATAATCTTCACAGACACACACACACACACACACACACACACACAGTTAGTTACTTCCCTTTTAGATGGGGACAAATTCAGAGAGACCTAAGGAGCTCACGTAAGGTCACGTATCTAATAAAAGGCACAGTTGGTATTCAAAACCCAAAAAGGTCAGCTCTTGCTTTTCTACTAGACCATGCTGCTTCTTCTCTTTGGTATTTACCAAAATATTGTTTATAACTTGTACACATTAGTGGAGGTAA